GCCACTAAGATTAGAGAAAAGAGACGGTATCATGGGATGGCTCAGTATTCTAAGCTTAGTTTGGTTGTCCCAGTCGAACTGTTCGTTTCACTTAAACAAATCTCCAGTTGTATTCTCTCTCATCATTGTCTTTGTTTATGCTGTGCAACAGGATTTGGGCCAACAGGCAGTCAGCTGCAAGATCAAAGGAAAGGAAAATGAGGTATATAACAGAACTTGAGAGAAAAGTGCAGACTTTGCAAACAGAAACAACTACTTTGTCTGCTCAGTTGACCCTATTGCAGGTGCATATCAGTTGCTCTCACTGCCCTGTAATTGTTTGTTTCTGTTCCTCTTTTTATTTGTGTTTGCTTTCTGTTGTCGAACACGGGTTTGGGTGTAATTGAAGTGATGCTTGTAGATAAGTGCCTGGTCTAGTGTCTGCAGCATCTGCTTGCATTTGTAGAAATGTACAGATATATGTATCTTTAACTTTTTCTCTACGTGTATTATAAGATTATGAATTCTGAGATGTCTGCTTTTGTTTCCACATGAAACAGAGGGATACAAATGGTCTGACTGCTGAAAACAGTGAACTTAAACTGCGTTTACAAACAATGGAACAACAGGTGCACTTGCAAGATGGTAAGAATCTGAACATTACTTCAGTAATATTTTCCCCATTAGACATTGTCTTTTCATCTGTCTGGATAGTGGTTGCCATTTCTTCATTGGTATTCTTGAATATATTTAGTTTGACCATTCAAGCTGATTCAAAAGGGGATTATTGGTCAAATGCAAATTAAGGTCTGGTTGGGTTTAGGCTATTGTTGATTTCTGAAACTTTTTCCGCGAGTTGAGAAGAAAGTGAAATTAATTTTGATTTACTTCATCACTTTCACATCCAGTGTAGTATTGATGTTTTGGTAAAAAATACTAGTAATTCTGATCTTGTTGTACAGAAACCAACGCACCACATATTACCTTACAAGGCTAAACATGTTTTTTAATAGGACCTGGTTGCCAAGTAAATATTGAGAAACTCATATATTTAGTCTCATGATGGGCACCGCCCATGTATTAGGTAATACTCTGTTTCATCCATTAAAAAATGGATAGGTTAGAAGACACCAATAGGCTATAAATTCACCTTGTAATGCCTTTGACAGCATTGAACTCAACAGGACCTTATTTCCTTGTACTCAGTAGAAGATCATACTAGGCTGATTAGAACACTTTCCTAACATAAATTTCCTTGTCTCTCTCTGAATTTTTTTCATCTCCATGATCTCTTCAGCTTTTTTCCAACTTCTTCAGCCAGATTCCGGATGCAACTCTATGTGGATGATGAAATGAAATTTATTTTACTTACTACTGAGAAACATAAGCCTTGGAAAACACTTCTCTAAGATTAGTAGCTATGCTACTTTTCTGTATCTGTAAATTCCTTAAACAGGAATTCCTGAATAACTGATTCATCTCCCAACTTGGGTAAAAAGGGGAATTCGTATCGCGCGACTTTTGGCATGTGAATGTGCTGGGAGGTTTCCTTATAAATAATATTTGTCTTAATTCACTTCTCAGTTGAGCTACTCCTTCACGTGTACCACGCTCTCCTTTCCAAAAGGGGGGAAAGGCCGGAAACAGAAAAAGTGAATGGCTAAAAGTTTAAGTGAAAAACTGTAGAAGACCAATATTCAATATAGAAGGCTTTAATTAAATGGTGAAGAATGGAGCACTACTACAATATATGGGTTTGTTAGAATTATTTTTACGCTAATGGTGAAGGCACAACACACTAGCGGGCCTTCTTCTTGTAATATTAACGCCTCCGTTAAGTATAATTTGAAAAGGTGCAATTATTTTAAAATTTACACAGAAGGCTATATAGAGTACCGCGCCTTCTGTGTAAATTCAACCCTGACGCGATTCAGCTTGATGAAAGGCGCTTTCGTTGACGGCGCCTTCAGTATTAATACTAAAGGTGTGCTTGTTGCTCGCGCCTTCAGTGTTAATACTGAAGGTGTGCTTGCTGACCACGCCTTCAGTCTCAATACTGAAAGTGTGCGCTTTGAATGCGTTTTCCTTGTAACTGTTAAACCCTCCACCTTCTCCATTTCAGTCGCCTTCCACCATTTTCACCTGAAAATTTCCTATTTCCCTTCAATTTTCACCGGAAAAATAACCCTATTTTGGCCCAAAAAAATCACACTATTCCCAGTAGAAGTAGTAGCAGGGTTGTTATTGTTCAAGACTTCAAGTAAGTTTTAGTTCTCCCAATTTTTTTTTGCCCTAGATTTTAAATAGTATATTGTTATATTTTGATTGGTTATAGATTTTATTTGTTTTCTATTTTGATTTCATGTCTAATTGTTACATTCTGATTACATCCAAGTTTGAATAATAGAACAAGTTCACTTGTTATGTGAGCAAAAAACAATAATTTAAATCCTTTTTATTTGTGAAAAAAATTCGACCATTAGTAGCATTTTTTTATATATTTGATTGGTTGCATATTAAATTTTTTGGTTGTAAAAAAGTAGTATCTTGTTATTATTTTGATTGTTTGAATTCATATCTAATTGTTGCATTTTGATTTTGTCCAAGTTTGAATATTAGCAAAAACATTCCAAAATAAACTTTCACTAAAAGCAATACTTTTTTCGCTTATATATTTTTTACCTCAAGAAATATAATACTATAATAATCTATGTAACTCATGTGTTTTTGATTTGCTTAATTTATCACTACTATATCAATTCATAATCTACTAATTTAAACTAGTTACATAATATTTTCCACGAAAAATATATTATCACTGTACAAATTATTGAACAAATTAGGCATACACACTCAACTACTACTAATGGTCAATTTTTTTCACAACAAGGAAAAAGAACTTGCAACTTTCAGACCTTAGCAGATTTTTGCTAGTTTAATTCCTTGCTAATCTGCAGTACGCATAAATTGTCGCAAGATGTTTCTCTAGAAATTGTCTAAATTACTCTACGAGCTCTTCATCTTGTTCAATGTGCATGTTTTACAAGTCTGGCAATTTACACCTTTGGAAGAGGTTGATGTCTTGAGTTCCTAGTGCCGGATGTGCTACGAATGATTAGTAGACAAGTCATTGCTATCTGTCCGAAATCATCCTCATTGATTTATGAATTTGCTTAAATGTTTTCTTAGTTTCTTTAATGTATCAAAAAAACACTGAGGGCAAAAGTAGTTTGGGTTTTTGTCTGGAGGGTTTCTAATATTCTGCTCTGTTTTTCTTCTTCTTCTTTATTTTCTATATATAGCATTGAATGACGCTCTAAAGGAGGAGATACAGCATCTGAAAGTGCTAACTGGACAAGGCATTGCAAATGGCGGACCTATGATGAACTTCCCAACATCCTTCGGAGGCAATCAGCAATTTTACTCTAACAACCATGCGATGCATACGTTGTTGGCTGCGCAACAGCTTCAGCAGCTCCAGATACATTCTCATAAGCAACAACACCAGTTTCAGCAACATCAGCTCCACCAGTTTCAGCAGCAGCAACAGTTGCAACACCAGCAACAACTGCAAGAACAACTGCACCAAGCAGGAGATATGAATTCGAGAAGTTCACTGTCATCTCCTCAAAATGACAATGCTTCTGATACTAGTGCTATATCAAAGGATTGAAAAACACACAGGCATTGTTGGCCAGAGAGTATAGAGTTGATCTATTTTTTCAGAATCATCATGTGTTTTCATCTAGCTCAAAGTCTCTCTATGTTTCAAAAACATCATGTGTTTTTCATGTAGCACAGCTTATTACTCTTAATTAGGTTGGTTAGCTTCATCTGCATTTTAGTACTACATTGTAGGGTCATTGACTTTTTAGTTGAAAATTGTGCTAGTTCCATTCTATGGCAAGTCATTGTGCTCGACATGTTTTTCTTCATATATTACCAATATTCTTTGTGGTGGTCTTTTTTAAGACATCAAATGTAATTTACGGTATTTCTCTCATAGTGTCAGTGTTCACATATTACTACTAATTATATTTGAGGCATGTGAGGATATCTGTTGGTTTTGTCTTATAACTGTCTGTTCTGAATCTGTTATCACTTTGAGAAAAATTGCAGGGTGGAACTAATTTCCAACGTTTGCCTATGAATTCTGAATTATATTTCATGTTTTTATTCATTTCAAACTGTGCTTACCTCTTGCATGTATACAACTTATGACTCCATGTCCTCTCGTCTTCAAGACTATGTTTGGCTAACTCACCTAAGCAAGTGAATGTCGATTTTTTATAACTTTTACAACGGGAATTCCATTTACCTTTTTAAGAGTAAAGTAAAACAAACCACAAAGGAGTTCTTGCCCTAAAGAAATGGTTTTCGTTAATAAAGCTTTTATAGAAAAAGTAATAAAGTAGAGGCATCCACTTATGTCGTGTGACTGGTAGATTTAACCATTTAGTCTGAAAGATAAAGTTGGTACTCTCTCTGTCTCAAATCAATTTATGTGGAGGAGTTCAAAGTGCCAAGGAAAGGATAAACCACATAAAGTAGTACTTCATTTTTTTGTGTGAATTCAAATACATATTATTAAATCTCTTATAATAAAATTTATATTTAAAATTACATGAAAAGTATAAGTGATCATAGTTAATATTTTAAAATATATAAAAAGCTTAAGAAAATCGTAGTCAACAAAAAACGGTATAACTTCCCAAATACTCGAGCTTTGTATTAAGCAAATAATTTTAAATGTCAAAAGACAAAAAAAGTAAATAAAATGAAAAGGAAAGAGAGTCCTCTACACTAGAATCTGCATCTTCTCTGTCACTTCTTTCACCTCCAATCATCTTGAAGAGAAGAGTCACTTTTTGTTCTTTTCCTGAAATAGTTTAATTCCCACAACCCAACAAATTTAATTTTTTTTTTTTTTTTTTGTGGAGTTTTTCTCCTCCATATTGACAATTCCATTTGCGCGATCACTCTACAAACAGAACACCTGATCAAACTCTTTCAGGGTATGTTTTTGTTTTCAATTTCATTAATCTTTTCCCTCCCCCCAAACCCCAGTTTTGTTCTTAGTTTAACTCATACTTCTTTTAGCTGTGAGTTATTTATATTAATCATTTCTTGTAGTATTTGTTTATTTGGGTATTTTTAGAAATGCAACTGACAGGTAATATGTAGGAATGTAATTGAGAAACATAACAGGAGAATTGGGATTTTAGAAAATTTATTCCTAGAATTAGATGAAGTGTGCATCTAATAGGTTCATTAGCTTGGCCAGAATGCTATATGTTGTGGGTATTTCTTGGAAAATTAAGATAATTGAATCATTGAATTCATGTTATAGCTATATACTATATGCAAGTTCTCTTATTTTCTTTATCTAAATAACAAATTTGTATTTCTAAGATCCAGACTAATTTTTAGAAGGGTATATTCTTGCAAGGATAAAGATATGATCTTGTACATAGACATGTATATAGAATATAAGCCCTAGATAATGTAAAGTTAATATTTTTAATGAGGGTAACTTTCTGCAATATCCTTAAATCTTTGCACCGATAAAAAAAAAGAATATCCTTGGATCTCTGCTCCAACAGCCAGCTCCATCGGTAGTGGTACTATTTGAAATTTCACTAATTCCATTCTTAGAAAGTGTGGTACTGAAAGACGTAAATTGGATAAGGAAATCTGTCTCTGTTGGATGAAGTTTCAAAATGGATTCCTTTTCTTTCAACTAATAGAACTTTTGAAAAAGTGAGGAATGTGTTGCCAAGGACATTCCAGAAGGTCACCCATCTTAGGAAAACGAACTCACTTTAGGTTCACATGTTTCCTAAATGGTTTATACGTGCCAAGTTTAGTTGAGAAAATAGTAACTTATAGATTGGGAAAATAAGAAGATACCATTAGTCTTATGGTGTTGGAATTTTGGTCACTTAATTCCTTTTTTTGGTGGTAAGATTATGCAAATGATTAAGATGTAATAAGCAAGTTTAGGGTTGTATTGAAGGTGCCTCTGTGTTGTATTTTTCTTATTTCTTCATGAATCTTTTTCAACTATATAAATCTTGGTCCTATTTTTGTCGTTATTAAAGAGAACAACTTCTACTTTTGAGCCCACGTATCACTTCAGCCAGTGAAGCCATGGCCAACTGAAAGAAGCCTGAAAAACAGATGGAAGGGTGGAAACTAAGGAAGAAAGAGATGTAGATAGAAACTGCTTTCGATGAGCCCGAATCTGGCTAACCTTATTGGGCACATATACAAGTATATTGATTTTTATCAGGCTAGCTTTAAAGAGCACCTTTGTATTGAATGATTTGAAATGGAAAGAAGCGGCTTGTAACGGACTGCAATTCTCCTAGACTGCAAGCATGCAAGCCAACAAGCGAATGACACTGTGAACTAGTTAAGATTATATATTAACAAATTATGAAGGCACATTGAAGCCTTTTCTATGAACTTGCATTCCTGTCTCCAGCAGTCAAGATCAATGTGTGACCACAGTTTGACAGTGAAACCTCCTAAAACCTTTTCTTATCAAGAATGTGCCAGGTAAGAATGCGTTTCTTAATGGAAGGACTAATCTACAGAAATTTGAACTGAGATAAGGGTAAAAGCATGACTATTAGGAAAATGAATAGGCATCAGAATACTAGTAAAAACTAGATTTAGGTGATCAGATCTGGATCCATGAGGGTAAAGATGTTAAAGGGAGGACTCAAATCAGTGTATAGTTGTTTGGTGCGTGGGTACACCAGCGACACTGATTCTTACTACTCAGATAAATAGTGTAGTTTAGAGTGTTCCGACTACAAGAAAAAGATGTCCCAGTTTTGCAACTATTGCTTCCTGATAGGTTATAAAGTTAATGTACTCTAAAATTGAAAGGTGTAAACTGTAGCGGTGACATAGCAAGGTTTATCATTTTGCAGTTGTTCAAGATACGCGAGTCAGCATATTCAGAATTTGGTTGTGGAAAGAAACAGCAATTTCATCAGAAAGATGTCAGTTTATGAAATGTAAAGGGACTGTAAATACTAGTATTATGTTTGGCGAATAGCCTATAATCACTGGCTATCTCATAACTCGAGACTTTAGGGCTATAAAACAGTATGGTGATGCAGAGGGATGTCAAATAAGTGCATGAGTAGAACATGCACATTGATCGTCCATTTTTGTCACAGTTTTGGCATGGCCCATCTCTTGTACATCTTCTGTTCATAATGCCACTTATCTGTTAAATTGTTCACTCTTTTTGAATTTGTTATTGAGATCTCTAAGTTTGAGGGAAGCTACTCTCCAGCTTTTTACATTCTAGAAACTTTGAAGTACTGTTTTTGGTATATCGATTCTACATCCTGGTAATAAAATCCTCTAATCATAAACTAAGGTGGTGCCGTACAGATAGTTTTCATTGCATATGGCCAATCTTGATGGCGATGATGAACCTGAATGGATAAAGAGGGTGAAATCAGAAGGTGCCGTTCCCCTTCTGGACCCAGATGACTGCTCAAATGGTTGGGCTTCTCCACCGGGGAACGGTTTCATGGTAAGAGGTCCAGAATACTTTTCAACAAAGGTTAAAGTTCGTGGGGGGGAATTTCTTCTAAAACCTCTTGGTTTTGACTGGATTAAAGGTCCCAAAAAGATTTCTGGTCTCCTGAATAGTCCAGCACACCGTATCAGGAGGGCTCTTCAAGAGGAAAATCCAACTGGTCACAAGCCCTTTATTTGGGTTTTCAACTTGCAAGTTCCTAGTAAGGAAAATTATAGTGCCGTTGCATATTTTGTGGGTCTTGAGCCTGTCCCCGAAGGGTCTTTAATGGAGCAGTTCTTGAAAGGGGATGATGCATTTAGAACTAGAAGGCTTAAATTGATAGCAAATATTGTTAAAGGACCTTGGATTGTAAGAAAGGCAGTTGGGGAGCAAGCTATATGCGTAATTGGTCGTGCGCTGACTTGCAACTACTGTATAGCAGACGACTTCATAGAAGTAGATATTGATATTGGATCTTCTGTGATAGCAAATGCAATTGTTCATCTCGCATTTAATTATCTATCATCTCTTACTGTTGATTTAGCTTTCCTTATTGAGAGTCAAGCTCAACCAGAACTACCAGAACGGATTTTAGGAGCTGTAAGATTTTCAGAGCTGAAAACCACTTCAGCAAGGCCAGTTGAAATGCCATCTGATGGGAACATGGGAGAGTTGCCGCCTTCTTTCTCTTCAAGGTTATGGAAGTCGTTTGGGCACAGTTTCTCCCACCGTGTTCAGACAGATACTCAAGATGGTAGCTCCAGCTCATCACATGTAGAGGGGGCTGTTGATAATGGGATGTTCGAAGAAGATACAAAAAAATGGTAAGTCATCTCAGACTTTAAGGACGCTTTATCAAATACCTGACGTAGAAGAAACATGATTTTTCCTTCCTCATTTTAGTTTTACTTTTTCTATTTTAAATTTGACTACATTGCGAGCAACCCACCCCCCTCCGCCCAACCTCCACCACCCCCCAAAAAAAATGTAAGCGCCTGTTTCATGGCTAAATTTTTGAATTCCGAGTTCATCTTTTCCTTTGTATAAAACTTACCATGGTAAGGTAATACCTTTTTTACATTGCTAAGCATGGCAACTGCTAAGAGTTTGGCAAATCATGGTTTGATCTAATTTTTCAACACTAAAAATTGGTCTACTAGGTTTTCTTTTACATCCTTCCTCGGGTTAGCAAAAATAAAACACAAAGAGAAAATCACGCAAAAGATTTTTGGTTTAGTTCCATTGTATATAAAGTTCCCAATTCTTCCTCTTCCTGAGAATTTTCCTTCAGTCAGTTAAAGCTTCTTGAATGGTAGTTATGATTTCTTTGAGCAAAATTGTTACTAGTTTCCCTTTGTTCTGGATTTCCTCTGATTGTTTCTTCCATCCATAGAAATATAGTTTAAGAAAGTTTTCTCTGAAGTGTGGATTCTTAAGTTGATTTTGAAATCATGTCCAAAATGAATTCCTCTGACCAGTAATGCATCCAGAGTAGATTTTACATATCTTATTTTTCTCTTCTCACACCGCACAATTGAGATGCTTCCCTTATGTATAGTGCCAATGGTTGTAGTAACTGGCATATCTTTTTTGCAAATGACTTCTAATTAAGGATATAAACAATGATTTCAATCATAACTGCCTATTTCAGTGTTGGCTATCCTTCAAGTGTCACTCTTCCAACATATGCTGCATATAAAATCCACAGAAAATGTTATAATTTGCAAATGTTTTTCTTATAAATATGTTAACGCAGCATCATGTTACATTATCTCTCAGAAAGATTTTGTTTTTAATTTCATTGTTTAAACATGCATATGGAGCTCGTGTATTGTTGCTGGCATGCTGCTGAGACTCCTTTTTTTTTTAAATTTTTTCTCCGGACACCAAGATTAGGGTTTTCTCTTGGATCATGTCCTCTTTCCAATGAAGACAACATTGTCATTTTCCTTGCAATATATCCCTTGCTCTCTTTCTGTTCTTCATTAGACAGTTCCCTCCTTGTATTCTTTCTTGGATGTTTGAGATGAAGGCTGTTGCTCAAGTTATACGCATCAAATATCTGCTCATATTCTTACTGCATATACTGATATATACATTTCTTAATATTTGAACACCGCAGACCTCCACACTGTAAATTCGACGAATTTCTTGAAAGGTTCAATGGCTTCAGGCGTGAGGAATCTTACTATTGGTCTCTTGTTGCAGTAGAATTATATACTACAAACATATGCATACAGCTCTGTGGCAAATTTAGCGACACGAAACTGCAGTAACATTCTTCGGCTGTATTGGCCTCTGCCATTCTCATTTCTTTCTGAAAACCCACTTCTTCAGCTGCTCATTCATTTGTATTCTTGATATTGATTTTTATTTGTTTATATCGATTGCTCGGTAACAACCGGATACTAATTTGAAGGGGTTTGATTGGCTATACATTGTTTCTTTTCCTTTTTTTTTTCTCTTCAGCAACCCCATATTGTTTACAACAACAACAACAACCCAGTATAATCCCATTAGTGGGGTCTGGGGAGGATAGTGTGTACGCAGACCTTACCCCTACCCTGGGGTAGAGAGGCTGTTTCCAAATGAAACTCGGCATCCTTCCCTCCAAGAACTCCCCACCTTGCTCTTGGGGTGACTCGAACTCACAACCTCTTGGTTGGAAGTGGAGGGTGCTTACCATCAGAGCAACCCACCTTGTCTAAATTGCTTACCATCAGAGCAACTCACAACCCCATATTGTTTGATGTCAGGAAATATATTCTTTGATTGAAAATGTTGGGATAGAACAACTATATTTGCCAGAAGAAATAAATAAAGGCAAAAAGAGAAGAAGAAAGACAGAGAGAAACCAAATACAGTAAATACTCTCATGAGGACAAACCAAAATTTACATGATTTAAAACGCAGAAAGCACACCCCTTAGACTTGCACAACCAGAAGCTCCATGATTTTGCAAAGAAAACTAAAAGTTCAAATCAAAATGCTTCTGTTGGCGGCTTAAAACGAAGTCTGATTAATAAATGAATTCTGCAAATTTATGATCTTCCGGAAGATCTAAGAAAAACAGTTTCAAAAAACTAAAGGAACGGGGGAATGACTACCTGTAATAAAGCAAAGGATAATACGAGTCGAGTCAATCATCAGAGGAAGAAAGGGTCAAATTACCGGCTATTGGACAAAATCTTACCAGAGATGGAGACCCCCTCGCCTCGCCTGCTAAATGAAAGCAAATGATATTACCTGACTCAAAACTACCTAATATGGGGGAACCTTCCAAATATTGCAAATTTATGATTTTCCAAAAGATTTAAGAAAACAGGTTCCAACTTATTCTGCTCAATGAAGGTACAAGGATACTCCCTGACCCAAAACTAGCTAATATAAGGTCCTATAAAGATTAAACATGAAAACATATACTCCATGAGATAAAATTTGAGCATACATCCTATTAACAAAGCTAAGAAATGATTCACGAGACTGGACTAGGAGAATGATCTAGGTATTAAAGTATATCACTAAAACAGTCCAAGAAAAGAATGAAAAGTTAACCGACTAAGTTAGCAACCAATTACATGTCCAAAGAGTTTTCTGCACATCTGGTATCTTCTATATTCTGAGGCAAGCACTGGCCAAAAGTTTTAATAGGTAAAACTTTATAAGAAATTGCATATTAGGCTTTCTCAAGGACAAGATTGAGGATGCGATCATACCAGCACTAACGCACCGGATCCCATCAGAACTCCGAAGTTAAGCGTGCTTGGGCGAGAGTAGTACTAGGATGGGTGACCCCCTGGGAAGTCCTCGTGTTGGATCCCTTTGTAGTCATTTTGTCTTTTTATTTTTTTGAGCCGAGGTTCTTTCGGAAACAGCCTCTCTACTCCTTCGGGGTAGGGGTAAGGTCTGCGTACACACTACCCTCCCCAGACCCCATTAGTGGGATTTTACTGGGTTGTTGTTGTTGTTGTTGTTGTTGTCAAGGACAAGATTGACAAATAAATCTCTTTTGCAGTTTCCGGAAACTTCCCAAAGGGACAAATTTCATTCATAAACAAAACTTAGATAGTTGAAGCAGTCCTTTTTTCTCTTTGAAGGCTATCTTCATCCTTAACATAAGACTCTTTTCTTGACTAGGTATTGAATGTCTCCATGTTTTCTTTGCTTTCTGTTTAATTCATGGGAGAGTAATGGGGGTGGGGTTGTAGCACAAAGCACAGAATAAGCAACTAAGCTTGAAGCTTTGACCTATGTTACTCAGACTCTCCAAAAATATCCTGGTGCATGTCAGATCCTCCAAAAGTAGTGCATTTTTGGAGGATCCGATACAGGTAAGGCAGCATTTTGGAGAGTCCGCGCAACAAAGGCTTTGACAGTATAAGCAAAATCCATGAGTCTACTCTGCAATAAAATAAGCATTATAATGGACAGAAATTGACAACAGTAAATATAATTGTTCATTACATAGCCTAAAAAACAGACAACAGAAATTCTTTTGATATTTGCAAATGTCACCCTCCCAAATCATTTAACAAAGAATTGGAATGCATGCATGGATGGAACACAATGGCTAAAGCACCTAACCACAAAAATTTAGTGTTAGGTGGAATACTATGGTGCATCTATAAATATGTTAATAACAGCTTTGTCCAACACACTTAAACATGACAGTGGTTACCTAAACAGACGAGTGTTTCAAGAATCAATGAACATATTGTCGTCTAAATGACAATTGTTGAGATTACTGGGCAGGTAAACCAGTCATCCTCTGCAAAATCCCAATACTAATAAATACATTGTAATCCCCAAGTAAGCAGTGAAAGCTATACAAGATTGGAGCCAGTATCTGCTAATGTACTCATCTGTAAAGTTCTACCATTTCCAGCTGCAAGAAACCGTACAGAAGGCAAAGAGGGATCGGTGACAGGTTCAATCTCAAGAAAGTTCAAATCAAATGTAGCAGACTTTTTCAAACTGAAAACAAACACAACCACAGTCCATCCCAGCAGTGTAACCGCCCAGTAATTGTTCATCCCATGTATCAGACCCCAACCAACAGCATAACCAACAATGATTCCCGATAAATGCCCAAGAAAACTCGCTTGAGGAACAATAATAGAAGTAAATATAAGTGACTCAAATGGCGCAAAACTGATGGGAAGTGAAAGAAAACCAAAAAGATTCAGCTTTGACGACGGTTGCTTGACTGAAAGAATCGTCATCCACCCAAACACCACACAAGAATATCCAACAGCAGTAACTCTTCGAAAATACTCAAGCTTAAATTTCTGAATCAAAATATGGTACATTGCTACGACAAGCATGCCCGAAAGAAGAACCAAAACCAATGTATAATGAAGATAGTACTCTACCCCAAGACCTATATCTCCCAATTGTTCAACAACTCCAAGACTCCAAAGTGCACTCATATTAAAAACAAGATGAAGCACACTAATATGCGAAAACGCTGATGTTATTATCCTCCAATGATGACCTTCCACAGCAGTTTCATAACTCATACCAACATGTGAATAACCAATATTTGATTTCTGAATATAGAACCAAATTGCACTGCATATTCCAATCACACAACTCGTTGCTGGCTTTTCCAATATCTCATAAAATAATGGTTTCCCCATTTTGAAGAAACCACCTACTCACAATTCCTTCCTTAACTTTATTGCTAAAATGCTTACAAGGACACAACTTTGTCCTTTTTATTTCTCTTTTTTTCTTCTTCTGGGGTTACGCAATTAATCAAATTCAATACGGAATCCACAGAAAAATTGAATCTTGAAGCAGCATAGAGAAACCCCAAATCAGAAAAATCGAGAATCTTGCACTAGGGCTAAGTTTGATGAAAGTAAAATCACATAAAGACCCAAATCTACAAACCCAGCTTCAAAATTTCTTCATTGCAATCTTATTCAGATCCAATGTAGTAACTAAGATTCCAGAGATCCTCGTACAAAGATCAATCGAGCTATCAATCTTCAATAAAATTTGAGAATTTAATGGTAACCCAAAATCTAAAACAAGGAAAATTGAATACGTAATACTTACAGGGTTGTCTCGAAGAAATGTTGCTATGAAAATCAATGTATTTTAGGGAGAGGGGTTTCAGTTGTTATTTTTGTCGAGTCCAGGCTCCTCTAGAGTGACATAAGGAAAATGGAACAATTACAATTGTGGTCCCTCAATTTTTAAAACTTTTAATTTTGGTCTAACCTTCTCACATACCGACAATTAGTTATGTGAGAGTTCTTTGTTTAAAACGTGGAATGTGGTTCCAGGTAGGGGACATAGTTTGGGGCAAACTCGAAATCCAAATCGAAATCCTGAGTATTTTAGATTTTTGGTTTGGATTTTCGAATTACGGATTAGATTTTGGATTTAATTTTTAAAATTTTTGGATTACGGATTGGATATTGGATTTGGTACTTCAAATTTTTGGATATCCGAAAATCCAAAATTCTTATACTTTATATTTGGTCAATTATCCATATGTCAATAGTAATAAGTTCAATATCTTACCCATTAGATATTATCTCATATATTCAATATTAATTACTAAGTTACTGTGTGAATACTTTTTATTTGGACATGGTTTTACTATTTCTACTTCTTATCGACTGTATTAATGCCTCTATTTTATTTTTTGATAATAATTTCGTTACTTGAATACTTCATTTGAATGATTGTGGTGACAATGAGGAACTTTTCAGGCAATTTAACATGAGTACCTCATTTGGATATTTATTTTTGTAAAAAGCAGAAATATCTCAATTTATAAGCTCAAAGCCGAAAATCCAAAATATCCAAATCGAACTTAAAAAATCCGATCCAATACGAACTTATTTGGAATGGATTGGATTTGGATTGTCATTTCTTCAATCCGAAAACCGAAAATCCAAACCGAAATTTTCATATGCAATCCGAACTACCCGAACGCCCACCCCTAATTCTAACTTTCTAAGGGTGTGTTTGGTATGAAGGAAAATATTTAAAATAAATAATTTTCTTATTTATTTTTATTTTTACATTAATTAACTAAAGTAATGAAATGTCACGACCCAATTTCACTTATAAGCCGTGATGTCGCCCAACGTCGCCGCTAGGCAAGCCAACGGTGAACTAGCCATGTATTTATTCTTTTAACAACTTTGAAATAGTTGATTTTTATTTATTAAGTAAGTAAGAGGTGAAAAATTCTATAAAATAAAGTGTAAACTAATATAAGAACAAGTATGGTGAAATAAATACTCAAAAGCCATCAAATGTCTACTAGCATAATTCCAAGACCTGGTATCACAAGTGTATGAGCTACTAGTGGAATATATAGAATACTAAACTACTGTCTGAAATAGAGTAGACAGAAAGTAAATGCAAAAGAGAGACTTCAGGTGCTACAGAACAGAATCGGAAAGCAGCTCACCACTAAGTCTCGGA